TTACTTATAGATGGACACAATACCTTTATTTTATTTTATTTATTTTTATGTGGTGCTGAGGATCTAACCCAGTGCTTCACACATGCTAGGCAAGTACTCTACCCCTGAGCTAAACCTCTAGCCTGTAATTATATTATTTTAAGCTTAAAAATTTTAAATACCCTACTTAAGTCCAAGTTTTACTTTGAAGAATCTAAATATTTTATGACATGCCATATTTTTAAATTGAGTATCAGGAAATTCCATGCTCAAAGTATTTAATTTATAAATATAAATATCCTAAGAATTCTTTGTAATTCCCAGGGCTACAATTATGCTTTAACTTGCAATTTTGAGCAGGAAGATTCACAGAATTCTTTATTTAGAAAGTTTTGCCCGACTTTCAGAATTTTAACATTTTTATAGATTATTCCATTGTTTCAGTGTCATAATTTGATCAAAATCAGATTTTTCTCTTAGAAATAATATTTGTTACCTTTAGATTCAGAGACTTCCCTCCTAGTTTCTGTCATTTCAGCAGGATGATAGCCTCTGAACGACCTAAATCTCTATTATTAGAGTCATTAAATTTTTAAAATTGAATCAGTATCCCGTTTCCACAACTTCACTTTTCTTAATCAGACCATACCAAAGAAAATAGCTAAACTCCGCTGTTCTTCAGTGAAACTTAATTTCTCGGAGGTTGAAATTTGTTTTTTAATGCAGAGCCCAAATATGGAGGAATTGAATATATCATTTGATAGAAGTTGGATAGCTTTGACACGTGTTTATGTAAAGATGATAACATTTGGACACGTGTTTATGTAAAGATGATAACATTTGGGGCCGTATATATTTTAAAACACTTCAGAAGAAAAGTTCAATGATTTTATAAAGTCTTGGGTAAGTTTTCAGTGATTTTAGGTTTACATATAAAATAACAATTTTTAAATTTGAGTTTTAACGTTTTAAAACGTGCTTGAAAAGAATTCTGAAAGGCCAACTTCATAGTATATTAGGAATAATTTTTTTAGGACCAGGGAAGGAAACCAAATATGGGTAAGCAGTCACCAAAAGACAGAAAATTAAGGGCAGCTTGCRGCCGCCCGGCTAGCTCAGTCGGTAGAGCATGGGACTCTTAATCCCAGGGTCGTGGGTTCGAGCCCCACGTTGGGCGGGGGTGAGATTTTTTCTTTATCTCGATAGGGGAAGCTCAGTTTTCTCAGAGCTAGTTCTTGATAGTTTCACCATAACACTTTAAGGATGATTTTTAAAACAAGAAATCAAAATCCTTTCAATATTAGGAAGATCTCTGGGAAAGTTCATTTCCTAAAGGAAAGGAGTGTGAAACTGCGCTTGCGCACTTGATGGCACACGCTGGTTCCCCACCCCTCCTCATTAACACACAAAAGAAACTTAAAAGGCCACTTTTTTAGACCAGTCTCTAGGCATATTTTGTTACCTTTCATGATTTCGTAGTTGCCGGTCGGTGGCAATTTTTGCTTATGTCTTAACAAAACCACGAACCCTAATGTTAGTTGGTTTTTCTACTCCACCCATGTAAAAGCAGCTGGAGACGCTTAAGGACTCTGAGCAAAAGGGATCAGAAAGGGAACCTCAGTCACTGGGATCACCAGAGCTAGGCACATTCCAAGATCTCACGCACTCGACTACGCAGGCGAGCCACCCATCCTGAAGTCAGCCCGTGCTGTCCTGTATTAAAGGAACTAAATTTTCTCTCCTCTTTATTGTTTCTTTCAATATACAAACCTGCTGTTATTTCTGTATCTTAAAACAAAAATTTCCATCCTGTTTCCCTGCAAGCTACCCTTTTATTCCTGTTCCTCTGACAGTGTGTAAAAAACAGAAAAACTGAAACAACAACAACCCTAGTGGAACAAATCTAATATATTACCTAACACWGTGAGGGAGAACCGTAAAGTAAGAAGGTGATTGTTTAAAAAGAACCTAGGATTGAATTTGGACTTTGGTTGGGTAATATTGTGACGGTACGAGGAAGTGGGGGGCTTTATCCACATTGGATACTCAGAAAGCCAGGGCAATTCTATGATCCTGATGAATCTTACATGTATACCGAGGTCAGACTAAAGGAAGGATATAGCTGAAATCGGTAAACAGGCACTCATTTAGCAAGAGAGAATAGGACAGTGGCCAACTTGTATGAAGTGGATATTCTGTGAGAAAGTGGAGGAAAACAATTTAGCAGAAAGCATCATTATCAGCCCTGTAAGGGCACTGAGGCTTAGCTCTATCAGATTAGTTTCCAAATATTGGGAACTACTTCTTGCCTTTCTCAACCCATTCCAGGCAGGCTTTCCTGCCTCTCCTTTCTCCACAAATCTGTTGAACTGTTCATATCCTCCTTACTAAATCCAATTGTTCACGTCCAGGTCTAATTTATTAGCCTATCAGAAATTTATTACAAATCTGATCATCCATGCTGGATATACTTTTCCCCTTGGCTTCCACAACACTAGTACTATCTTGATGTCTCCCCTTATAGTTGCTCCTTTCCTTTCCACCTCATCACTTTGGAGTGCTCAAAGGATAAGTGCTTGGTCATTGTCTCTTTTCTATCCACACTCACTTGGTGATCTCATGTTTTAAAATACCAGTTATTTTCTTAGGATTTCTAACTTTATATAAAAGCCCAGAGCTCTCGGAAATGTCAAAGTTGAGTATCCATTCAGATATCTAGTATATGTATATGTGTGTGTGTGTGTGTATATATATAATTTTTTTTTCAAATTTCATGTGTACAAAACTCTTCATCTTTGTCCAAAATCTTCTCTGGCAGTTTTTCTTTTATTATTATTTACTTAATGTAATGTTAACATCATTCTTTTAGTTATGCAGACCAAAAATCTTGGAATCATCATTGATTCCTTTTTCTCTTCAACCCCATTATGAAGGTACCCTTTAATGAATCAAGCCCTCCTGTACTCCCCTTCCACACTGTGGCCTTGGCCATGTGTGTAGTTTTAGCCAATTGGAATAAATATGATGCAAATAGTGAATTGATGAGGGCTTACATGGTAGGGCTTGTTACAAGATGCCAAGTATGAAGTCCAAGTACTCTTGAGCTACATGCTCTGAGGAAGCCAAAGCTGTCCATCTGGGCAGAGGCCATATGGGACACTATGTAAAGAGCACTGAGAYCCCCAGMCTTGTAAGCAAAGCTATCTTAGATCTTCCATTTTTAGCACCCCAATGAAATACTACCAAGTGAATATTTCCAGCTGACACCACATGGAACAGAACTGCTCAATGGAGCCTTGTCAGAACCATTAGCTGATAAAATTATTTTTTGTTTGTTTTAAGCCATCAGGTCTTCAAATAGTTTGTTACATAGCAATAGATAATCAAAATCAAATATATTGGGAAATCCTATGGTTCTCCCTTCAAGATGCATCCAGTGCTGGGTGTGGTGGTGCACACCTATAATCCAAGCAGCTCAGGAAGCTGACATAGGATGAGTTCAAAGCCAGCCTCAGCAAGAATAAGGTGCTAAGCAACTTAGTGAGACCCTGTCCCTAAATAAAATACAAATAGGGCTGGATTTGTGGCTCAATGATCAAGTGCCCCTGAGTTTAATCCCCAGTACCAAAATAAACTTAAAAAAATCATATATATATATATGATTTTTTTTTTTCTCCAGAATCAAACTTCTCATTTTCCCTCTAGCACCCTGATTGAGACCAGGTCAGATTTACCTGACCTGGAGTACTGTAATGGCTTAATTGATCTTCATGCCTCAGTCTCCCTAAACGGTATTCTTAACACAATACTAGAATATGTTAGTTAAAAACAAGTCTATCATGTCATTATTCCACTCAAAACTCTCCAAGGGGCCCCTGCTTCACTCAGAAAGATGTCTTTATGAGATATGCCTACCTCTCCATTCTGTGACCTGATCTATTATGTTTCTTCTCCTTGTTCACTCTGCATTGTGCTGGCCTCTTCAGCAACATTAGATCACTTGCTTTAAGACATGTACAGTTCATATAATCTGGAATAACCTCCCAACTACTGAAATCCTACTCATCCTTCAGAAACTAGGACAAAAGCCTCCTCCATGAAGTTTCCCACTATTGGTCAGAATTAAATATATCAGTAAAAACAAGCAATTGATACCTTTCATGGCATTCACCATACTGTTCTATATAATCATTTGTGTACACAACCATTTCTATTAGTCTGCAAATACATAAGGGCAAAGATCTACATCTTACTGTTGTAGCACTTACAGTATCTAACACTATATTACAATAGGTACACAGCATTCAGTAGATATCAAATAAATCTTGGTCTTGGGCTACTAAAGTGGCACATAATGACAAAGTAATGCTAGTTTTGTTTTTGTTTTGTTTTTTTTAGGGTCTAAGTTGCTGAGGCTGGCTTTGAACTCATCATCTTTCTGCTTCACTGGGATTATAGATGTGTACAACCATGCTGGGCTCTGCCAGAAGTATTTTAAAAAGTAAACACATAACAAATAAAAATAAAAGTTAATCAATGGATGAGTATATTTTTCAAAGAACCCTTGACCCTGAGAATATATAAAGCACAAAAGCAGGGATTAATAATATTGTGAAAACATATTTATAGAGCAGATGGAATGTGACATAAAAATGAAATAGCTTAGAAATGTAGAATTGTTCATAAAAGAAACTATAAAGTTAAAAAGTGAATATTTCCATACTTTATCAAATGCTTGACCCTGCTACCAAACATTCTCAGTCCAAAGAATCAAATATATTCTCAGAAAAGCCACACTACTATAATATGGACACATGAGTAGCAGAAGAAAAAAATTTCAAAAACAGACTCATGTTATTCTTTGAAATAACTGATAACGGTTAATACTTTTCATTCATTAACTGAAATAACTGCTGAAAATAATAAAGTGAATGAAGTCTTCAGTACCTAGGACAGATTAGGTGAACTGTGGAAGAATGCTATTATTCTTTTTGAAAACTGGACTGTGTTGTGTAACGAACTTCCAAAATTAAAGTGCTTACCTACATTTCACTGACAGAAAGACAACAGCAACAGCTACCATTTTATTACTACACAACAGAAACAAAKTCAAACTAATTAAAAATTAAGAGAGTATATACAGTAATGCTTTCATTTCCACTAAAGTCATCTATAATAAAGCATCCCACATACTTTGTACAATTTGCTTATAATTGATTAAACATCTGAAATGAAGAAAAGTTGAATTTTAATCAAACTTTTATTTCTCAGTGGAAAATGCTCTCTTCATCAAAGGTGGCTGAGCTTTCCCAACATCAAACATCATTTCCAAAGGTGGGTTATTGAGAGAACACCAATCAGGGATACGGCCCGTCTGATTATAATATTCCTTTGAAACTGAACGGCTCCCAAGTATATCTTGCAATGCTCCAAAAATAGCCCCTGTGTGGTAAAAATAATTTTACAGTTAAATTAAAATGTTTTACCAGAGACCTTTGAATAGCCATATATCTACTATATGAAAAAAGTGGACTGGTAAAATTCAGCAGTGCATATTCACACTCTTTAATACCAGTTATGCTGTATTCTAAATACTAGGGTAAGCCCTAATTTCTGTGTTGAAAGTAACTAAATAGCTTTCAGCAGATGATACTGAGTATGATAACAAGTGTTACTGTATCTGGAAGAAAGTAAGATAAAAGGTATTTTCAGCTTTGTGTAAATACAATCAATAAGACAATTTTCTTAAATGTCCTCTTGCCACAATTCAATAAAATGGCAGGTAAAACTCAATAGGAATCATTTTAAAGTCCCAAGATTTTATACTGGAGACCTTATAAAAACACGAGTCAGTTTTTATAAAAGTAATTTAGTTATTAAATCCATTTGTCCTAGATCAAAATTACATTATTCACCAAATTCTACAAGAAATACTATGTTCATTTAAAAATCTTAATAATTTATTTTTCTCTCTGAATGTATAATATAATCCTGATACCTAACTAGCTCTAAGTGCATAATAAAACACATGTCAGAATGTATACAATTATACAGATTCACAATTGTGTTTCTCTTCAAAGTAGTTACTTAGTAGGCAATTTGCTTATTTCAGTGAAAGGATCATTACTCAGAACATTCTCTGAATGTTCTCAGAGAATGTTCTGAGTATAATCAAACATAAAGGGGTCAATTTTCATTTGTGGCTCTTTAGCTCTGGAAGGATTGCTTTGACCAATGGCAGCATCATTAGAATAAATTTATAACTATCATTACTCTGAGAGATAACTTTAATTGAATAGAAAAACTTACTTAAAATCACAATGCAAATAACAAGAAAAATAGGTATATTTTTCTTGTTATTTTGAAGATTAATTTAAAGAGTAGTCAYTGTTCAGAGAAAATTTAATCATTTTTATTAAGCAGGCAATTTTGAACATTGATTTATTTAATATAATCATTTTATATTCATGCTTCTCAGAAACAAATTATTACATAATGTTTTTAAATCTAACTTATTTTTTTCATTGTTTTTTTTTTTTAGTTATATATAACACTGGAATTCATTTTGACATAATTATAAAGGCATGGAATATAACTGTTCTAATTCAGACCCCAATACTTCCCCTTTCCCTTCCTTCCTCCCTCTGTTCCCTTCTCTCTACTGACCTTTCTGCTATTTATTTATTTTTTTTAAAGTTAGTTTCTTGTGGGTATACATGAGATGAGATTCACTGTGGTATGCTCATATATGTACACATGAAAGTTAGGTCAGACTCATTCCACTGTCCTTCCCTTATCCCTTCCCCTCAATGCCCTTTATTAAAAACAAAATTCTTACCTCCCAACCAGGCTACGCAATTAGCCTTTGCAGGTGGAGTGTGAATTCGGAATGTCTTGGTGCCAAGTGCTTTTTGATATTTTGGTTTTTCTACCAAATACCTTATTTCTGCAAGCAACCTGTGGAGAAATCCTGGCAACATAGATGTGCCCCCTATGACTACCAAATTTTCTGCTAGTTGCTTCCTGGTGTCTATTGGGCACTGTTATTTAAAAAAAAAGAAAAGAAAGAAAGGAATTTATCCTTACTTGGGAAAGTACTGCTTGATTAAAGCAAACACATAGAAGTATGTAGTATAGATTAAATACTTCATCATTTATATTACAATAAAGTCACCTGCAAGTTTTTTGTGTTTTTTTTTTTTTTTTTTTTTTTKGTGGTGCTGGGGATGCTAGGCAAGCACTTTACCAATGAGGTCTTGTGCATGCTAGGCAAGAACTCTACCAACTGAGCTATATACCCAGCCCTGCAAGGTTTTCTTATGTATCAAATACAACCACCATAATCCTACCATATTATATGCACTTAGAACTTTTAGGGCTGGAGATGTGGCTCAGCGGTAGCGCGCTCGCCTGGCATGCGTGCGGCCCGGGTTCGATCCCCAGCACCACATACCAACAAAGATGTTGTGTCCGCCGAGAACTAAAAAATAAATATTAAAAATTCTCTCTCTCTCTCTCTCTCCTCTCACTCTCTCTTTTTTTAAAAAAAAAAAAAAAAAAAAAAAAAAGAACTTTTAAATCCACAGGGCATATGGCAGTAAATATGTGAGTATTTTTTGTTTTGTTTTGTTTTTGGTATTGGGGATTGAACCCAAAGGTGCTCTGCCTCTGAGCTTTATGCCCAGCCCCCCCCCCTTTTTTTCATTTTAAAACAAGTTTTAAAAGTTGCCTCCAATTTGCAATACTCCCATCTCAGCCTCTTGAGTTTCTGGGACTACAGCAACCTGGTATTTGCCACTGGTATCTGGATAGGTTCTCATTTACGAAGTAGAATGACTAAGTTGGGACAAGAGCGTAAAAAGTAACTTTTCTTTTGAAGTTAGGAAAATATGTGGAAGTTTAATTTTTCTATGGTGTTATCTTCAGAGTATTATATCCAGGGCCAGTTTTTGAGTAGAAAGATAACACTTAAAAATTGTTTTCACAACAGTTCTAATAAGGAATGATATGGTCATCCAAGATGATATTATTTTAGATAGTCATTAAACAAAAGGGATATAGTATCATTTGCCTTATGGAATTCATTTGTTTTGAGATGGAGTCTTGCTACATTGGCCAGGCTTGCCTTGAACTCCTAGGGAAGTGATCCTCCTGCTATGCTGTGGAGTAGCTGTGACTACAGACATGGATCACTGTGCAGGGCTTTGCCATGTGGAATTTAAAATTCAAAATTATACAAAACTGAGTTTGAAGGAACCACAAACCACACAAGGAATAAAGTAAAAACTGTATCCCTGCTTTGAAAAACATACGTATGTTCAGGGCAGTAATTATTCTTGGGTTTGAAATATAGATAACCTACCTATCTCAGTGTCAAAGTAAAACTCATTAACTAAAACATTCAACAGAAAAGTTTTAAAAAGCAAAAAAATGTAAACCACTGGAAAAAGAACAGTAAAAAAGGATTCCTAAAAAAGGCATGCTATAATCCCCACTACTTGGGAGGCTGAGGCAGGAGGATCTCAATCTCAAGGCCAGCCCTGATAACTTAAGTAAGACCCTGTTTCAAAATAAAATGCTTAAAAAAAGGGTGGGGGATACAGCTCAGTGGTAAAGTGTATGCCTAGCTTTTGCCAGGCCTTAGGTTCAATCCTGAGTTTACAAAGCAAAAAAGGGGGGAATAGTAGTACTCTACAAAAGCTAGTAAAATTCGACAAGCACAATTGCTAGTGAGATAAGGGATATAAAAACAAACAAAAAATTCACTGTTTTTTTTTCTTCTCAATAATACATGACAAGGACACAGAGAAACTAACATTTAAAAAATGTTAAAATGTCGAAACAGAAACTTTTAACAAAATACCTGCAGAAGAGAATCCAATATTAACGTAGCAACTGATTTCTCTTCATTATCTTGTTCAAAGAGAATTTCCACAACTGAATCTCTGAAATTACAAAAAGACAGGGTTTGGTTGATATTATATAATATGACTGAGAATAAACCATTAGCTGACACTGATTTTTATGTATAAGTACTATGTTAATGCAGAATAATTTTTAAAATACAAGATGGTCTCATTTATAAATGAGGAGAATAAAAGTACCTGCCTCACAGGGGTTGATTCAATGAGTTAGTAGAGCAAGTTTTGGCACATAGGTATTCCCTAAGTATTAGCTATCACTATTACTMTGTATAGATTAACATATATTTTGTGCCCAATTACACCTCCCCAAATCCAATAACAGAAGAGAAACAGCATTCTGTAAAAGTTAATAAGATTCAGTAAGTATATAAGTCAATGATACAAGGGATTTAAAAATAACTAAAAACCCCTCAACATTCCTTCCTTCCTTCTTTCCTTTTTTGGTACTGGAAATTGAATCAGGTGTGCTTTGTCACTGAACAATATTACCAGCCTTTTTCATTTTTTATTTTGAGACAGAGTCTTGCTAAATTGCTTAGGGCCTCACTAAATTGCTGAGGCTGTCCTCAAACTTGTTATCCTCCTGCCTCAACCTTCTGAGTTGCTGGGATTACAGGTGTGCACGGTGATGCCTGGCTGTTTTTTATTTTTTAAATATGATGGATCTTTATTTGTTTACTTATATGTGGTGCTGAGAATCGATCCCAGAGCCTCACACTTGCTAGGCAAGTACTCTACCACTGAGCTACAACCCCACCTCCTGCCTGGCTGTTTTAAAAAATTAAACACGACAAAGATTGCTAGTTGCCTAATAAAATATCCATTCCCCTTTTCTCAAATTAAAAGAACTATTTTGGGGCAGCATGAAAAAGATCTTCAAGTTGATGAAATATTTCTGTTTTTTATTATATATATTTAAGGTAAAAAAAATTATGTTTTGATTTAAACATATATAATGAAATTATTAAAACAGTCAAGCAAATTAACCTATGTATTCCTGTCCATAGTTACCTTTTTATTTGTGGTAAGAACAGTTAAAATTTACTCTTACCAAGTTTTCAGTATATAATGCAATATTGTTTACTATAATCCTTAAGTGAACACCATATCTCTAGATTTTTTCATCCTGCAAAACTATAAATTTGTGTCCTTTAGCCCCCTTCTCTCCACTTTCTTCCCCTTGTCACATTGGTGGTTACTGTTCTATCCTCTTTCTAGATATYTGATGTTCTTTAGATTCCACTTATAGGCCAGGTGCAGTGGTGTGCACCTATAATCCCAGCAACTTGGGAGGCTGAGGCAGGAAGATCTAAAGTTCAAGGCCAGGCTCAGCAACTTAGCAAAACCTTGCCCCCAAATAAAAAATGAAAAGACCTGGAATTGTAGCGATAAAAAACACCACTGGGGTTTAACATCCCCAACAGAAATACAGTTTGCTAGTTTTGATATTATACTATAGTTATTTAAGATATAACCATGAAAGAAACTGGAAGGGTTCTCAGGAATCCTCTATTATTTTTAGTAACTAATCAATATTACTTGAAAAAATTGAAAATATGACCTCCTTTGTGTGTTGGGGGGGGTAGATACTAGGGATTGAATCCAGGGGTACTCTATGGCTGAACTACTATCCTTTATTTTTAAATAGGAACTTGCTCAGTTTCCCAGGTTGGTTTCTAACTTGAGAACCTCCTGTCTCAGACACCTGAGTTACTGGGATTCCAGGTATGTAACATTTATGTCTGGCTATAGAACCCCACCAGTTAAAACACATAGCTACATATAATCAAATATGAGAAAATAAGATTGAGAAAAGTGATGATATATGGAATTTCAAAAATATTTTCTTCGGGGCTGGGGATGTGGCTCAAGCGGTAGCGCGCCCGTCTGGCATGCGTGCGGCCTGGGTTCGATCCTCAGCACCACAAACAAACAAAGATGTTGTGTCTGCCGAAAACTAAGAAATAAAATATTTAAAAAAAAAAATATTTTCTTCAAAGGAGGGAAAGCACTTTTCTTCTTAGGTCTATTTGCTTGAAACACAGACATGGAAGMTATATGGCCAACTATCCTGGACATAAGGATCGGGCTACATCCCAGAGATGACAGATGGAACTTCTGAAGCCACTATCTTCATGTTTTTATAATTTGTGGCCAAATCAAATCCTAACCAATGCAATATAAAACTAACTGTAAATGTGTATTAAGTTCTATTTTTATAAAATCAGGATACACATTTTAAAGCTCTAAAATCTTTTCAAAACACAAAAATTCTCTTAGTGATATTCAGCCCACTTGCTAAACTCTTTCCCTTTCATCATTCAAGTAAATTGAGGCCTGCAGTATGCTAAACATTTATGGCAAGTCAGCCCCTTGCTGCTGTGTGTGCAAACTTCTGCTTCCAGTAGTTGAGATGCATGCTATGAAGAGTGGGTTTCCTGTTTCCAAATCTTTTATCACTTGATTTGATATTCAAATTATATAACTTAATAATTATTACTTAACCAATGAATATTAAGGTAGAAAAAAAGTTGTTCTTTCTATGAAAGCTATGCTTTAGAAAGACAAAAATTTTAAAAAGTTTTTTAATACAGGTGAGACAACTGTAAAAGTCGAGAAGAAAATAACTAGAAGGATTATGTACCAAGACTGATTCATAGCACCTTTAAGCTCTTGATATACTTTTAAGACCACCAACTGACAACTGGAAATCATAAACTATGAACTACTGGCTTATGTAAACTTAACTCAGAACTCTATAAGCAGACATCTTCAAAGGTTTTCTGTTTTTGGTACCAGAGATTGAACCCAGGGGAGCTTAACCACTGAGCCACATCCACAGCCCTTTTTTAAAATATTTTATTTAGAGACAGGGTCTTACTGAGTTGCTTAGGGCCTTGCTAAGTTGCTGAGACTGGCTTTGAACCCAGGATCCTTCTGCCTCAGCCTGCCAAGCTACTGGGATTATAGGAGTACACTGCCAAACCCAGCAGTTTTTCAAATAAGTACACATTTATGGGGATTTGGGATATGGCTCAGTGGTACAGTGTGTGTTTAGCATATACTTTTATAACTCAGGTTTAACCTCACTACCACCAAAATAATAAAAGATTAAAAGTGAAAATAAAAACACACTTATGGGCTGGGGTTGTGGCTCAGCAGTAGAGAGCTTGCCTAGTACATGCGAGGCCCTGAATTAGATCCTCAGCACCACATAGGAATAAATAAAATAAAGGTATTGAGTCCAACTACAACTAAAAAATAAGTATTTAAAAAAACACTTATGCATTTTGTTAAAATATAATGTTTAGCATGTGACTTTTAAAAATATTCCTTTATTGCATAGTGTTACATATTAATTCAAATAAATAATAAAAAGTGAACTACTAATTAATCCTGAAAATTGATTATGTTTGGAATAAGGCATTCTGTCTACCAAAACAATGTTTTAAAGCAAGAGTCAGGTGATCATGGCCTGTGAGTAAAATTCAGCCCTGAACCTATTTCTGCAAATGAATTTTTACTTGAACACAGCCATGCTAAATTCATTAGTATTTAGCATGTTTATGGCTGATTCTGTGCCCCAACTGTAGAGCCAAGTAGCTGCAAGGAGACTGAACATATGAACCACAAAGCCATACATGTATTTTTTGGTCCTTTATACAAAAGTTTATAAGCCTCTATTTTAAAGCATCAAACCTTTTCTTTTTTAATTTTTTAAGAAAGATATTATAGCATATTTTTATGCTTTATAAGATGATCCAGCCAATTTCTAAATATATTAATAATACAAAAGAGCTGAGGCCAATTGTTGGAGTACGGTCTAGAAAAGGAAAAAGAGTCATGGGATTCAATCTATGGAGTCTAGGTTTAAAAGACATGTTATCCCTGAAGCAATATTATGGTACTCAATACCATCAGGTCCACTACCTGTTTTTATCAAATATTTGGTATCAAACTTCTTGTTATGCCTCAAAAGAATTGCTAGTTTTGTTACTAAAACTAATTCTGAATTATTCTGATAACAGAAAAATATACTTTTTTAAAGTTTTAAAAACCTGAATATAATTAATGATGAATTATGAAGCTTAATGAAAAAACTCAACTGGCCAGGCATTGTTTTGCACACCTTTAATCCCAGAGACTTGGGAGTCTGAGGCAGGAGGATTGAAAGTTTGAGGCCAGTCTCAGCAACCTTGTGAGATGCCCCCTATCAAAATTAACAACAAAAAAATAAAAATGGCTGGGGACATATCTCAGTGATAGAGCACTCCCGGATTTAATTTCTAGTACTGTAGAAAACAAACAGGCAACAAAAAAAATTTCTATTGTCAAATTGGCAATACTATAATAAGGGCTTATAAAAATACAAGTATTTTTAAAAGCCAAGAATTTATTTTGCTTATTATTGTGCTCATAAAAATTAAGATCTAACCTGATCGATCCAAGGACATGTAAAATCTTCTCTCCATCTAATGGATAGTCAACATTTGGGGGCGGTGAGGGACGCTGAAATAAAGATATCATAAGTGTTAAGTCTATACATGTTGTAACCTATGAAAAAATAMGATATATTTACTTTTTAACCTACCTCACTATTCCCATCAATATTAAATTTTGCAGCTTGGATTTTTAGTCCACGCTTCAGGTCACTTACAAAGCAAGTGCGCACTTAAAAAGAAAGGAGGAAAAAAGACTGTTAATAGCTTGTGATTAACTAAACAGAGTAAAATTACACAGCAGTTATCTTAACAATTCTAGTCAAGTGTTCATGTAAAGTAAAGCCACACTGAAAAAAGAAAACTACCTTTGAGGAAAACCTTTGTACATTTCAGGATACTAAAACGTATTTTAGTATCCTGAAATGTAGCTTTTCCAATCTAACAATTTTTTTTTTAAACCAGATTTTTACTCCACCACCCTGTTCTTTCTGAACCTTTATTAAAAAATCTTGGTTGCTCAGAACAGTTGCAAGATTTTTTGACACAATTATTTCCTTCTGAGAACAAAAATTTAAAAGCAGAAACAGAATTGAAGTTAAACACAGGAAACATGATGACTTGGCTGAATTACTTGCAAACGACATGTATTATGCAAAGAATTTTATTGAACTATGAGTGTGTTGTATACTTATCTTTAATAGAAATGGGATCCTTTTGTACATATTATTCAACACCATAGTTTTTCCTTAACATTATCAACATCTTTCCAAATTTACTTATCTAGCTCCTTCTTTCTAATTGCTACCTGATATTCCTTATTATGAAGTTATCAAATATCTCTCAATATTCCCCTTTTAAATGAAGTGAACACTTTAAATTTTAACATGACAGATTGCTTCCCAAAAAGTGTATTTATTAGAATTATATATATATATATATATAACATATATATATTCACTTTTCTAGAATCTCACCAATACTGAATATCTATCTTTTAAACTTCTGCCAACTGGATGCTTTCCTAACAGGATAGTTAAACAAGTTTTTATAAGTTAGAGGTCATATAAAAGAAACAATTCACATGGTCAACAACTGTTATATCATAGAGAATAAGACTGAAAAATAGGAAGGAAAGGCATTATTTTACTTGAGATAAGTTCATTTTCTTGTTGAATGTTGCAATAGGCTTGATTACAAATGACTAAAATTTTGTAACAATGAAAAAAATTTTTAGTAAGTATACCATATAAAAAAGCAATATAATGAAGAGCAAGAACAAGACCTATTTATAGACCTGATGCTCATTTTACCTACTTGGGTGACAAAGAACAAATGATCTAATGTTTCAGGAAACTGACTATACTAAATTATCTTCAAATCCTTTTAACTCTAAAATCCATTCTTATCTAATTTTCTATAAGAATTTCAGAGTATTAATTTTACATGATACTCCAAATACTGAAGAACACAAATTGTATTTTAAATGCTTTTCTTTGTAGTGAATAAAAATACTAGAAACCCAATTTGAATATTATCATAAAAATCTATTCTAGTAAAGTAGAAGTAATACATCTTATTAAAGTGAATCCAATATACTTTGGTTCTAATTCTAGAATTTCTGAATAGCCAGTAAAAATGACTAACCTTATTAAACA